ATGGCTCAGTGTCATAGCATTTTTCAAAAGAGATCTGGTATTGGCTTCCTAGACATGTTTTCTCCTGAAATGGTCATGGAGGGGCCACCAGACTGTGCCATCGAAGTTAGATTCCTTGGAGTTGCTACCCGCTGAAAGAACAAAACAGCCCTTTCCAGCTTTTTGATTCAATCTGCTGCGGATCAGGAGTGCATGCTAATAAAAGATGGCATCGCCAGCTGAAAAGAGGTTTGTTTCTCCAGGGGCCAAAGAAATCTAGTCAAGGGGGTAAAGAAAAAAAAAGAAGACAAAGAGAAAATCAATGACAACAATAACAAAAATCTAACCCTCAGACTTTCCCCCCAAAAACTGACAAATTTGACTTGTCAGATGCAAGTTCAACTTGTGGACAATTCACTAAAGACTGATAATCTCCATAGCAACAACTACATCACATGATTTACACATAAGCACTTTCTCCGAGAGAGCAGCTTTCCTCAAAACCATTTTCTGGCAAATTCCACAATGTCGGAGGAATTAAACAGGAGCCCAATTGTGACCTTGACTGAGTAGTTTGCCAACAATTAAAAAATAATAATAATTAAATTACCCCTTTAACATTTTAATACTTGCATTTTTTCATCAAAAAGAGAAAATTCACCAAGATGCATCCCTCCAAGTAGAGATCAGGAGTGTGACTGTTAAAAAGGTCACAGGAGTGAGCAGGGAATGGTATAGCTTTGTATGACTTCCCCCCATCCTCCCCTCCTTCTAGCTGTTGGACTATAGCTCCAAGAAACCCTTCAAACTGTGGCCATCTGTGGATGAATGAGTGGGGATCCTCTCCAATCCCCTCTCTTAAAAATACCATCAGCTTCTAACCTGTCCAAAGGGAGGGTTTCACTGAGAATGCTATCTTTCTAATTAATGTTCTAACTTTCAAACTCCCTAACCTCTGGAATACAAACCTCTACCCCCATCATCGTAGTTATCAGGCCAAAATTCTCTTTCACTGAAGACTTTTGTTCCTTAGACCAAAAATTCAATTTTCTCCCTTCCTTGAGGAAGGTTTCTTTTTCTAACTGGTTCGAACCCTGAGTGTTTGGAGGTTGAGTTTCTAAAGGTGGCATAAAAAGTTTAGAGCTTGTAGGGCAAGAAATCCTTGGTTTGCTGAAAAGTGCCTGAGCCACAGACTGTGTGAGTGGCTGGACAAAGGTTTATTGCCCTCTCACTGAGCAACGCCCAGGTATGTTCAGCAGGCACTGAAATTTACAGCCGCCTTTCAAGAAAAGATAAACACACTTTCGACAACCTGCATATCAGCCCCTGGAAATCTATCCCTTCTGCTTTCAAGCCAGCTTAACTGGAGCTTAGCTGAATTGTTAATACTTGATCTTGCACAGGGCAAAGTTAGCTGCATTGTCCCCAGGCTAATGAACATTTTGGTCCAAATACAAGGATTGCAGACATCCTCTTTATGCTGTTCTTTCCCCTCCTCTGAAACAGATAGGTACAAACCAGCTCTTTGTGAATTGCTTCCTTTTAAGAGTGTGTTACTGCTGACTCAGCGACTTGGAGGCTGCTCTAATGAACTGGATTTGTCCTTGCTGGCTGACTTGAAAGGCTCTGAAAATATAACTCCAAACCAAGTGGATTTAAAAAGACATACGCTATTATTATAATTATTGTCCCCTCAGAACATTTATTGAAAGGAGGGAGGGAGAGAGACAGAAAGACAAAGAGACAGAGAGAGACAGATATGGAAAATGAGGGAGAGAGAGGGAGGGGGGAGAGAGAGAGAGAGAGAGAGAGAGAGAGAGAGAGAGAAGGAGGAGACTAAGGGAGTCACTTTCTTTTTTTGCATGAGTTTAGCTTCCTGGACCAGTATGCAAAATATTCAGTGGAACTGGGCTAAAAAGCAGGAATTTTGATTTTAAATATCAAACACTTCCTTGACCTGGATCCCTCTTATAAAGTCCATTGGCTTTTCTCTTAGATATCTCTTTGCTAGGGAACAGCCACTTCTCATTCACTTCTCATATTTTAAACTTGAACCGCATAGAACTATGAACCTTTGATGTGTCATGAAATCCAAACAATGGCCAAGGCTAGCCCTAAGCAAAATTGTGTAATAAGCAGAGTTTGTCTTCTGTGCTTTGTTCTTCTTTGTGACACCCTTTCATAATACTCAGTATCCCTAGGCACTGTCCTCATCCTCACTTTCCCTATATACCCCACACCACCTTAAAAATCTGCTTTCAGAGAAAGATTTTGGTTAATGCATTGATACTAAGCTCAGATGCCTAAACATAAGGAATTAATCTTTCATTGCGGAATTTCAGCTATCACAGAGTAGGTAAAAGACATATATAGGGTATCTCAAAAGTTAGTGCCATCCTAAGCCTTAATAGTATAAAGGATAGCCTATCCTAGGAGACTTAGATCTGTGTGTGTATGTGTGTGTATATATATGTATTTATATACATGTGTATATATACATATATGTGTATGTATGTATGTCTGTATACAGATCTAGATCTTCTAGGATAGATACCTCCTAGATATCTGTTTTATATAGAAATGCAGCTATATCTCAAATGTATGTGTATAAATATATATTTATCCTAGAATATTGATATATATGCACATATATTCTAGACATAGACAACAAATATATGTATTATATGATTGTCCAACCCTATGGTTTTTCCAACTAACTATATATTAGTATCTGGATGACAGGCATTATTTATCCATTTGGTTTTCCCAGTTTGGATAGTTAGGATAAACTCTTTCTAATTATTATAAATCTCATTTATGAGATCAAAATATTCAATATCTATGTACCCTCACTGAAGTATGTAAGTCCTCAAATGTAAGTCCACAACTAATCTGTATCTTTTCATCCTGTGTGATTCTTATCTGTGACAAAGATCCCCCATGGGATGTCCACCTAACATTTTGGGCAATCTTTCTCTAGGCTTTCTGGCTTTATGAGTATTCAGATGGGTTGCTCATGGTTACCACCCTAGATCAGGTTTTCTTCACTTCTGAACTATTATAATAGCTTCTTAAGTGATTTCCCTGCTTATAGGTACTCTCCTCTCCACTCCAGCCTCCACAAATGAGCCATATTTACATTTCTAAAGGATAAATCTGACTATGTAGTTCCCCTGCTCAATAAGCTTCAGTGGTTCTCTATTAATTTTAGGATAAAATACAAATCCTTCTATTTGACATCTAAAACTTTTTATAATATGGCACTGACCTATCTTTCCGGATGGATTTCCTATCACTTTTCCTCACATACTCTATTTTCCAGCCATACTGCAAAGACCTATTTCCTATTTTCTGGATGTGATATTCTATTTCAAATCTTCACACTTTACACAGGTTGACCCCTTGACCTGGAATGTTTTCCCTCCCCATCTCCAAGTCTTAGAATCTCTAGCTACATTCAAGGGCCAACTCGAGACCTTTCTTAATTCTCCCAGTTATTAACCCTATCCCCCCAAATTACTTTTTATTGACTTTTTATGTATTTTATATCTACTTACCTCTGAATATATTGCCTTCCCTACTACCAACCCTAGTTTTCACTTTGCCTGGAACATAGTAGGTAATCAAGAAATGCTCATTGAATTGAATCCATCTATTATCCTTTGTTCCTGCCACATGACTAGCCCACCTCCTTTTCCTGGCATGCATCTTTTTCGAAAATGTGCTAGATATAACTAGATACCACTGCTCATGAAGTGAAAATAGCTGAGGACAGTTTTGCATATGTTTGTTTGTTTGTTTAATGGGTTAGTATGGCCAAAGAATTTATCATTTAGTAGCTGGCCTCCTGGTGATAAGCTTTGCTGTACTTAGACGGTCTGGTTCTCAAAAAGCAGATACAGTCTGTTACAGGCACCATACTGGAAATGTTTCTAGCCTGGTAAAGTCTACCTGAGCTTTAACTCTGTTCTCCTACCCTTTGAGATCTCAGGGTCACCTCAAAAATCTATAAAAATACATGAATGGGGTGGGAATTTCTCAAATATTTTCTTAAAGATAGCTTCTAAATTATTTGCATGTGAAGCTGGCCTTAGGCCTCAGTTTCCTCATCCATAAATGGAAGTGGCAAAGGGTTGAACTAGATTATTCTAGCTTCAAATCTAATCTTATATACCTGAGGGTTTAAAAAATATTTTAACAATCCCAGAAACATTCTCATCAAGGCACATGTGATCCTAACTTTATGCTGGTAATTTAATGTCTGGTCAAAAATCTGGAAAAAAAATTGCTTTCTTTTCTCCTATATCATTCCTACATGTGGACCTCTCCCTTAGTTTCAAAGGGTGTGTAGCATGTGAAAGAGATGTGTGATAGGTGCACAATGGGGACCTTAACACATTAGTTTTGGCCATAGACCGGTTGATCATAAACAAATCAGTCAATCAACAAGCATTTATTAAATGCCTAGGCATTGTGCTAGGCACTGGGGATACAAAGATAAAATAAATAGTCCCTGCCCTCAAGGAGCTGACTTTCTAATGAAAGACACAGCATGCACTCATATAAGTTTATATAAAATATACATATATAAAATAAGTATAAGGTGGGGGAGGTTCTAGTTACTGGTACCTCAGGGAATCAGGAAATACCTTATGTAGGAGGTGACATTTAAGCTGATCTTTGAATGAAACCAGGGATTCTGAGGCAGTGGTTAGGCAGGAGGGCATTCTAGGCTTAGAGAGCCATCAATGCAGAGTTTCCTCAGCCTTGGTGACAGGCGACAGAGCATGGTGTGTGAGAAACAGCCAGAAGGCAGGTTTGTCTAAATAGAATGGGGGTGGGAGGGTGGGAGTGGGAGTCAGAATAAGTCTGAAAAGGTAAGTTAGAGACAGGTTGTGAAGGGCTTTAAATACTAAACAAAGGAGCTTATACTTGGTCCTGTATGTAATAAGGAGCTGCTGGAATTTATTGAAAAGAATATGTAAATGACAGTATTTGTTATCTTCCCCTACAATTCACAGATATCCCACAATCCTCCCCTGTCTGTGGAAGAGCCTCAGATCAGGAGAATAGCATCACATGGGGAAAAGTTTGGGAAGCCTTGATGCAAAGAGCTGGACCCATGAGACATGGCCAGGTAATATTTCCTCCTACATTCCTAATCAGCATCCATGTTTTCAGTTCAGAGTAGGCATTCTGGTCAGATGCTCCTCAGAAACATATAGGCCAGGAGAATAACTCTGTCTTATACAGATTTTAGGGACCAGCAGTAGAAAGAATCAACCTCATGGTTCCCATGGAAGGATCCACTCCGTGGACATCATTGCTCCCTACAGCAGCCTAGTGTTGAGGGTATCAAGCCACTTCCAGACGTTTTAAACAGTTCCTTTCCTTTTCATTCGGGCCACTGAAATCAGTTTTCCTACACTAATCAATTCTACACCCAGCCGTTTGACACAGATACCAATGGTTGTGGCTATGGCACAGCAGAGAGAACTCCCAGCCAAGAGTCAAGAAGACTTGAGTTCACATGTGACCTCCAACACTTACTAGCTGTGTGACCCTGGGCAAGTTACTTAGTCTCTGCTTCAGTTTCCTCATCTGTAAAATGAGGATAATAATAGCACTTACCTCCCAGGATTATTATGAGGATCAAAAGAGCTGATAATTGTAAAGTGCCTGGCACATAGTAGATGCTATATAAATATTAACTGATATGTAAAGTTAACAAGAAGTGATTCTGTCATTTCTGTGTGTTTTTATAATTTCTTATATTGGCTTTAAAGTTTTGCTGAAAATATTATTATTTCTTCCAAAACTCTAAAGAGAGTTATTTTCATTTAAACATAAAATCATTTCTGCAAGTGATTTATAGGTTCCCTTTGAGAGGAAAGGAAGTCAAGGAGGCAGCAGCACAAATACTAGGGAATGTATCCTATATTCTACAGCCAGAACCAGATTCGTGAATGCCTCAAAAACGTGTTGTTGGTGCTTAGCTAAAGCTGGTCCCACCAGGCCTCTGAGCCAACAGCTCATTCTCTGAAAGTGGTCGGCTACAGGGTGGTCCCTTTAAAATCAGGCCCATAGAAGGCAGGGAAGTTTTCAAAGAGCCTGTGCTTACTATTTAGAGAGGCAATAATACCTAATAAGAGCCTTATTCAAATGCCTTGTGCTTGATAGTATTGAGATATTGTAGAATGGAAAGAGGCACAGTCAGCTGAAGGAAAAAGTTCACTTATGAGTCATCTTTGTTGCAGAAGCACTGCAAAGAAGCTATTGGTTGAGGGATGATGGGAAAAATTATGGTATGCATGTAATCTAAGGAACAGCAAATAAAAGAGAATCATGAGAAGAATTAAATTAACTTATGTATAGAAAAGAGAATAGAATCAAGAGAATAATTTCTAGAATCAAGCAGGTTTTGAGCACCTACTGTGCTAGGAATGCCTCTAACAACGCACATGCCAACAACACTAAAATTTCTAACTAGTGAACTTGGATTAGTTGAAAATGGACAATCTTAGTCCCAGAGAAAAGCAAGAGAAAGGTATTTTCCTTCTTTTGATAGAGAAGTGAGATCCTCTGAGTACAGAGTATTGCATATACAGACAGATGAGCTAATTCTTTCAGTTGAATTTTGCTTCCATTTTTCTTTGTTACAAGGGCAGATTCATTTGGCAAAAGTGTCTTGGAAAATAGTCCTGATGGGGAAAAACAGACATAAATAAAATTTAATAGTTAAACCCCACGTAAGAGGCATGCTTATAGTTCATATTTTTAAAAATTTATTTTATTTTTCATTTATGGGATAAAACAAGTATTTCCATAACATAGTATAACCAAAAAGATGATTGCACATGAAACTGCAAATCTACTACGTACAACTTGCTATTCATTTTAAATATACAACAAAGTTATGATTTAAATTTCTTTTTTTCTTCCCTCCCCACCCTGCCCTACAGATGGCCACCATTAGACACAAACATATATATATGTGACAAATATATACATATATATAATTATTCTATACATCTATTTATCAGTCCTTTCTCTAGATGCAGAAAGAGCCTTTCCTCATCTGTCCTTTATAGTTAATTTGGGTAGTTATAATAGTCAAAATAACTTATTCATTCAAAGTCGTTTTTAAAACAATATTGCTGTTGCTGAATACAATGTTTTCTTGGTTCTGCTCATTTTGCTCTTCATTATTTCATGCAAGTCTTCCCATGTTTCTAGTATGTTAAATTTATAATAAATGGAGAGGGTAAATTTTAAGAAGACTAGAGAGATAAATAGGATTTTAGCCAAAAAGTAAAATGGGATTTTATTTGATCTTGTAAGCAATAAGGAGGTACCAAAGTTAAATGGTGAATAGGAAGGACTGCAAAGACATGGCCACATTAGCACTCTAAGAAGATGAATTTGGGGGCAGCTAGGTGGTGCAGTGGATAGAGCACTGGCCCTGAAGTCAGGAGGACCTGATTTCAAATCCAGTCTCAGAGCAAACACTTGACACTTACTAGCTGTGTGACCCTGGGCAAATCACTTTACCCCAATTGCCTAATAAAAAAAAAGAAGAAGATGAAATTGACAGCTGGTTATAGGATGGACTGGAATGGGCAGATATGAGACTGTACATCAGTAGAGTTTAGAGCTGGACAAATTGATGTGACAGTTATCTGCATAGAGATGCCCATTGAATCCATGGGAACTGAGATGATCATTATTATCAATAAACACTTATTAAGAGCCTGCTATGAAACAGGCACTGTCCTAACTGGTGGGTATACTTACTCTTACTTTAATTACAGTTCTAATTTTTTAAGTTGACATTTATAGAGAGTTTAAAGGTTTATTCAGTTTTCTCTTTCAAACAATCCCATACAGTGGGTAGTGTAAATATTATCATGATAACTATGCAGTTGTGAAGACCAGTGATCAGGGGAGTTGCCTGGCTCATCTTTAGTCACACAGGTAGGAAATGTTAGAACCAGGATTCATATTCAGGCCTTCAGATTTACCCCTTGCCCCTACACCTGTCAGTAGCTGGAGTATCTGGTTTTCCAGCCCACAGATTAGACATAGCAAATTAGAAGCAGTTGAGAAGGGAGGCTGTTAAAGGTCCTCACATACATAACTGCAAAGTGCAAAATCAAGAGAAGATACAGTAAAACTACAAAATGCAGACATAAGAACTAATAAAGGTCAGCCTCTGGGGCCAGTCAGCAAATTGGCAAATGACCTTAGAACTTCAGTTGTTCCTGAGGAATTTACTATTTTCTGGCCCAGAACGTGACCATGGCTCATCGAGGAAAGGTTAGGTTACATTTCATGTTCTCTACCCACGTAGGCAGAGAAAGTTCTAGAAAAGTCTCTATCAAAAATGGTCAAAACAAATAAAATTTGGTGATTAAAAGGATGTTTTTAATCATCTGGAAAATCCATTAATGTGAAACACCTTGATGCCTAATTATATTAAGTAAAGGAGAAGCAAATGTATTTGAGCAAGTGAGAAGGCAATTAAAAAAATAATGCTAATGGTGTTTGCCTTTTTTCTGAAGGAGAGAATTAACTTTTTTGGTTTAGTGTTGCTTTAGGGAAGGAAAGTAGGGAATGAAAAAAGCTTTGGACTTATTTTCAGAAGAACCTGGTTTCAAGGCCTAGTTCTGTCACTTATTAGCTATGTGACTTTGGGTGAGTAATTCTCCATCCCTGAGCCTCAGTTTCTCCAGGTAAAATAGAAATAATAATACTTCCACTACTTATTTCTGATGTTTTTTGAGGATCCCCTGAGATAATACACCATCCAACCAGAAAAAGGACTGTCAAAATGTCATTTTTTCTTTAGGATTATTAGAAAGAAAAGAAAAATGTGAAATTCAAGAGGCAGAATTGAGTGGGAACAGGAGAATGAGGTAAAGAATGAGACCATAGGTTTGGAAATGTGGAGAGCTAAGATAAAATGGAGGAAGAGGGATTTTAGTGTCAAGTTAGTACCTGGTGATGGTGGTTACTGGTTGGGATTAAAATCCCTGTTAACATGGTATATGAAGTTAAAAAAAAATTTGAATTACAGAAAAAATGAAAGTATGGGGAAAAAATAAAAAGACACAGCTTAGGAAAAATCTGCATGAAGCCTTTCCTGATCTCTCCAACTACTAGTGATCTCCACCCAAACTACTTGTATTTGAACTATTTTGTACTTAATTGTATTTATACTGATCTGTGTATATATACATGTATCTGCATATGCATATGTCACATATCATGTGTATATGTGTATATATTTCTTTCCCCTATTATAATATAAATTCCTTGGAAGCAGAGATGGTTTCATTCCTTATATTCATATCCCCAATGCCTAGTGCAGTGCCTAGCATATTGTAATTGCTTAATAAAAGCTTGTTTATTCATTGACTGAAAAAAAGAAGTATGCATCTTTCCATCAGAAAATACATAAGACATCTAGGGGAAATGATCCTGTTTTACCCCTTGGTACAAATTTTCTCATCCTTCTCCTATCTACTTCTAGCTGGCACTATCCTGCTACCATTAATGCCTCCTTACCTTGCATCCTTCATGGCACAGTTTACCATTCATTGAGCTGAACAGTCATGAGTAATTCTCAGAATTACCTCTTTCCAGTTTCCTGTGCTGGTTTTCAATCAATTCACAAGGTACCTTTAAAAATGGCACTCACCAAACTCTGGATTTATGGCTTTCCACAAAACCCATTTACAAATTGTTTCAACAGGCACTTATCCTTAACATCGGCCAGGCAGCAGCAGTTTGAGGGGGGAAAAAAAAACTTAATTGACTGAACATCAACCTGGATTCACTGACATAAATTAAGCCTGTTTGGGGATATAGAATCCACACTGGCCAACTGTATTGCCCAGCAGCATTCTTGGGTAATGTAGGTTTGTCTCCATTGGCAATGAAAATGAGGAATCACTTTCAATATTTCAAACTGAGCTTTAATCCCTTCAGTCCTGACTGAAAACTAGTACTCTGTCTGGTCTGTGCCCTTGCATTAACTTTGAAAGCTGAAGCTATTATCCAGATTCTCAGATCAGAAAGGCATAAGCCCAGGTGAAATCTTCATCATTGGTCCCGATATTAATGAGTGTAACACTT